ATTACTTCGCCAATGTATATCATTGTTATCCAATTTACCAGGCTTATTGACTCACGAAAGAATTTCGCCTTTCAATAAATCTAAACAACAAGTGACATACACAGCTAATAATAATTATATCAGGATTAAGAGTATAAGTACATTAAATGAACTAGAGAAATTATTTTATAAAGTCAGTATAAAATACTCATCTCTACTTGATCCGTTCAATACATACAAAATGTACTAGCACAAGAAGTTGGAATTAAACCATTCCCATAATCAAGATAAATTATATTTAATCTTATGCTACAATCATTCTGATGATTTGTCCAATTCCATCATTAGATTGTGAACATTAACTTTTATGTCTTACAAGAACCGATGATTTAATCTTCCGTGTATAAGCTAAACTCTATACACTAAATCATCTACTATGTAAGCAATGGACGCACAAACCAACACATGATCTATTTAAAATGAAACTTTATTGAATTTAAACAAGTAAATAAATAATTGTTCATAAAGAATACTATAACAATACGCATGGCTTATAGTATATTCTAACACTTATTCCTTATAATTTACCACCTTGGCTATGCATGGAGAAAGAGAATTTTATTTTGTCAATGATTATTCCTGGTCCTGAGAGTCATGGAGATGCTATCAATGTTTATCTTCAACCTTTGATAGAGGAATTAAAAGAATTGTGGGAATCTGGAGTGGAGACCTTTGATGCATCAACTAGACAAAATTTTATGTTACATGCATCTTTGTTATGGACCATTAATGACTTTCCAGCATCTGCGAATTTATCTGGATGGAGTACAAAGGGTAAAATGGCTTGTCCATATTGTAATAAAGAAATTGTTTCAATTAGGTTAGAAAATTGTAAAAAACAATGTTATATGGGCCATAGACGCTTTCTTCCTCTTAATTACAAATGGAGGAATGATAAAGAGTCATTTGATGGCACTAAAGAGTGAAGATTACCACAAAAAATGCTATCCGGTGATGATATACTTGATCAACTGGCTGATTTAGATGGTTTACATTTAACAAAGGATCCAAAAAAGAAGGTTAAAATATCACATCAGAGTACGGGTGATAATTGGAATAAGAAGAGTATTTTCTTTGATCTTCCTTATTAGAGAACTCTATTGTTGCGGCATAACTTAGATGTGATGCATATTGAGAAGAACATATGTGATAATATTCTGGGGACTATCTTAAATGTTAAAGGGAAAACCAAAGACACCATAAACACTCGGTTGGATTTGCAAGCAATGAACATAAGAAAAGAATTGTATACAATAAAAAATGGGGATAAGTATGACTTACCAACAACATGTTTTACACTATCTCTTGAAGAGAAGTATAGGTTTTTCAATTTCCTGAAGAACTTAAAGGTCCCAGATGGATTTTCATCAAATATTTCTCAGTGTGTCAACCTTAAAGATCGCAAAATTTCAGGTTTAAAAAGTCATGATTGCCATGTCCTTCTACAATATTTACTCCCACTTGCAATACGTGGTATGCTTAGAAAATTTGTATGGGAACCACTTATTGAGTTGTCATTATTTTTCAATGTGCTTGGAGGAAAATGTTTAAGAATGAATGAATTAGAGCAGATAGATGGCCAGATCCCTAAAACTGAGTGTAAGTTAGAAAAGGTGTTCCCCCTACATTTTTTGATGTCATGGAGCACTTGCCTATTCATTTAGCTAATGAAGATAAGATTGCTGGACCTATTCAATGTCGATGGATGTACCCAATGCAGCGATATATATATACTTTTTGAAGCCTTTTATTCGTAATAGGGCATGCGCAAAAGGTTCTACTGTAGAGGGATATTTAGCAGCTGAATGTATGACCTTATGTTCAAGGTATTTGCACACAATAGAAACAACGTTTAATCGCCTTGAACAGAATTATGATGGTGGTGTTATAGAATCTGATGGAGGTTTAGCAATTTTTTATCAATCTAGAAGAGCTTTAAGAGGTGGGAAAATAGACAAACTTGATTCAAATGATCTGGAGCACGCACATTTTTATATATTTTGAAAAACAACGATGAAGTTCAACAATTTCTTGAGTAAGTAACTACTTGTTATAACAATTTAATACCTTCTCTATTTTTTAATTTAAGCTGACATATTTTTACACTACAATTTTTTGTAGAGAGTTTTCACAAACTCCAGTTGATACCTCTCAAGAAAATTCTGGTAGACAATTTGTTAGTTGGTTAAAAGAAAAAGTGAGTACCAACTAATAATAATATTTTTCAAACTATGTAATTATTATTTTCTAAACTATATATTTGATTGATAGGTCGCAAGATTGCAAAAATATGATGATAGTAAGAAAATGGCAGATTTGTTGTCATTGTCACGTGGTCCCACGCCATATGTGACACGTTTTCGTGGCTATATTATCAATGGATATAGGTTTCACGTGTTGGACTATGATAAGGGTTTGAGAACTCAAAATTGCGGGGTGGTTGTAGTTGGAGAGACCGATGAAGAGAATAAAAATATCGATTTCTATGGTGAACTAACAGAGATTCTAGAATTACAATTTGTTCCGGGAAGAAGGGTGGTTTTATTTCGATGTACATTATTTGATGTGTATGACCAAGAAAAAGGAGTTAAAATAGATGAATATGGCTTTGTAAGTGTTAATCTCCAACGATTTATGAAAACAAATGAGCCTTTTGTATTAGCCAACCAAGCATCGCAAGCTTTTTATGCTGAGGATCTTTCTAATAAAGGCTGGCATGTTGTACAAAAAGTACAACCTCGTGATTCTTTTGACATTCTGCAAAAGAATATTGATGATTTAGAGGAGTTAGATAATTCTTCACAACTAAAAAGGAAAAGAACTCAAGAAGGATTGGAGTTCTATCACACCTGCTTTTAATTTGTTAACTCCTTTATTAGAATAAAAGTTGCATACTAAAACCCATTTGATTTACAGGTTAAGTTGCAGGAAAGGAAAAAGGTTTCTAAAACTCTACCAGTGGATTTCTTCTTAGCTGATTGTATGTTTATATATAATGGATTGACTCACTAAACATTTATTATCTTTAAGTTTTCATGTGTTATGTTTCTGTCAATCTTATTCATTACTGTTGTCTATTGCCATCTAACTTTTTAGTTTGTTTCCTACACCTTCACATGTTCATATATGACGAAATTGACAAGAATATCTATTAATCAACTATTTTTATTTCTGTCAGGCTGACATGAATCCATCAAAATCTCAGAAGTTTGAAATAGTATCAACTTCGAAGACTTTTAAGCATCCATAAGTTCCATCTGGTGCCTTAGCAAGGGGACGAGGGAAAATCTTCAAAGCTTTTGGTTCTGTAAGAGTAAACGTTGAACAAAGAAGCAAAATAAATATATTATTGTTTTAAGTTGTAATTTTTTGTTATTGTCATTGTACTGGATTTTTTTGACTTAATTGTGACTTACAGGTCCATATGAATCTGAAAAGGCCAAACAAGTAAGAGCAAACGCTGAACAGAGAACTTTGTTGGGCAAAAATAAAAACTATAATGCAATAGCTTTTAATCAGAATAAGCTAGCTCAGAAGGATAGTCTTGGGCCTTTTGGTTTTGATCCAATATTGGAATATGATGCTTCCTTTTCGGATGAAGAAGCGATGCAAGGCACTCAAAGAAGCAAAATAAGTATATTATTTTCCTAAGTTGTAATCTTTGTTGTTGTTGTTATTGTATTGATTTTTTTTACTTAATTGTGATTTACAGGTCCATATGAATATGAAAAGACCAAAAAAGTAAGAGTAAGCATTGAATAGAGAACTTCGATTAGCAAAAATAAAAACTATAATGTAGTAGCTTCTAATCAGAATAAGCTAGCTCAGAAGGATAGTCTTGGGCCTCCTGGATTTGATCCAATATTGGAATATGATGCTTCCTTCCCTGATGAAGAAGCGATGCAAGACACTCAGAGAAGCAAAATAAGTATATTATTTTCTTAAGTTGTAATCTTTGTTGTTGTTAGTGTACTGATTTTTTTTACTTAATTGTGATTTACAGGTCCATATGCATATGAAAAGTCCAAAAAGGTAAGAGTAAGCGTTGAACAGAGAACTTCGATTAGCAAAAATAAAAACTATAATGCAGTAGCTTCTAATCAGAATAAGCAAGCTCAGAAGGATAGTCTTTGGCCTCCTGATTTTGATCCAATATTGGAATGTGATTCTTCTTTCCTTGATGAAGTAGCGACGCAAAGCACAAAAAGAAGCGAAATAAGTATATTATTGTCTTAAGTTGTAATTTTTTGTTGTTGTTATTGTACTGGATTTTTATATGTTTGACTTAATTGATATTACAGGGCCACATGAATCTGAAAAGGCTAAAAAAGTGAGAGGAAAAAACAAGTGTAAAAAAGTTGCAGGACTCAAAGCTGGAGAAACGTTGAGAGTCACTTTTTATCACAATCGAGTTGTTGGGGAGAATCATGCCTTATTTATGAGACACTTAGGTGTATTAGTTCGTGACCGTAATATGTGCCAATTACGCATACACTCATAGATGGAAATCGAAGAATATAAGCTGGAGCACATGTGACAAGCTGTTACGGTAAGAATTTAAAGTATTACTATCTTGATTTGCCTTCTCTATTTTTTCTTCACAAATGAAAAGGAAATACTGTGAGCTTACATCATCCATTAAATGGCTGATTTTACCATATTGAAAGTTCAATTGCAATTTTACAGTCAAGACAGAGATAGGCACTTGTTACTGTTGTAGGCATGTATATATTGATGACTTTTCTCTTCTTTTTTTTTGTGACTAAAACCATGACTCTTCTTGAAGTTATTTTCATTTATATTACGAGTTTAATTCTAAGCCAATAAAATGCTTCACAAAACTGGAAACTAAAGAATTTAAGTGATTTGTGACTTTATACTAGTTTGTAATTCGTGAATGAATAATACAACACAAAGGTTACAAATATGTTAAGATTTTTGTACTAGTCTGCAGTTTCAGAATGTAGTGAACTTGTCGAAACTTTTTTTTATTTTTGAAAAAGAACTACTCCAGCGTAAATAATTAGAGGTGTCAATTCCAAATGTAAATAAAATTCATCATGTTTTAGCCTATGCAGGAGTAAAAGTAGATATTGTAAAAGACCAATATCTACTTAGTTCTTGGGTCAGGTATTATCTTTGTGAAATTGTGTGCATTATTTATCATTATCAAATAGGGAGAAGTACTATATGTGAAGCACTTAAAAAGTTTGGCTGCTCCATATATCATGATTTGTTAATGCTTCAGCAAATGACTAAGTAACACTGTGCTTTTACTTTTCCTTTATTCTATCCTACAACATACTGGGTACTAGTTTTATATTTGTGTTTCTCGCCGTAATTTTGATACATAGATATGTATTCGAACCATGTTTGTTAGTCAACAACTAAAGAAGTGCCTGTGCTTTTTTGTCAAGCTAATCTTCGGGAAATGTCACAATCTTTAATTTATCAGTACCTTATTCTTATTTATGTTACTGTATTGGGTTCACTATGCAGAGGTGTATTGGTTATTATATTTTAAGTTAGTCTAATAATGTAGTGGTGTCAAAAAAAAATTTGCACTATATTTGGAGATTTTGATGTAATAGTTGCCAAGTCCTAGAATAAAGTGCTTTCAGAACATTTTAGATAAACTCAACCCTGTCACTTTCTTAGATTCTCTAGATGCACTTATAACTGATTTACTATTTGTTCCTCATTTTAATCTTGGCATACACCTATTCTTCTGTTATTAATATTCACTCATGCATATTTGCTGCTTCAAATTTGGCTGACCTCTCATTTAGACTGTTGCAGGTATATTTGTGCATAAGTATCCTTCTTTTGCCTGTCAAATAGAACCAAATATCAACTGATGCTCGCTTCACTTTTTTCTTTAAGGAATATGCCCTCTTTATATATTAGAACTCGTATAACCATTATGAGCTTTATAATCTCATGTGATACACATAGTTGGTTAAAATTTTATTTTTCTAATTTATTTGAAATTCTTTTGAGTTTCATTATTAATGATACTTGTGAAATAATATAGGACAAATTTGATAGTGATAACATAAATGATCAACGAGATTATGTCTTGAAACATATGAGAAAGTTATGGAACAATTGGAGAGGATTTATGCACAAGAACATAAAGTCTAAGCCATTCCGCGATGCTTTAAGAGATGTGCCAGAGGGGGTAGATAAGAGTAATTGGGAATGACTGGTCAAAGAGCATTTTTTAACTGAAAAATTTAAGGTAAGGTTTCATAACCATTTATTAATATCTTCTTATATTAAGTGGCTAATCATAATTTTGGTGGCGTATTGTCAATTTAGGAAACAAGTATAACAAACTCGATCAATAGATCTAAGTTGACAATGCGTCATCGTACGGGTAGTAAGCCTATTCGAGAGATCATGTATGAATTTGTGAGTAAATATTGCAATTTTATTGAGAAACTTTATCTTTGTTAAAACAATTATGTGACTTTTTAGTTAAATGTGAAGGTAGGCAAAGATGGAAACCCCCCAGATACGGCAACTATCTTTTTTGAGACTCGTAAGAAGGACGACAAGCTTGTCGAACCTGAAACCAATGAAAAATATGTAAGTTTTGTCAAATTTTATTTTACATCATTTTATTTTCTGTGTTGTATTATTTCCAATAGTCTTGTAATTTATGGCCAAAATCCAAAAACTGGTGCAATCTGAATCGTCTCTTACAAACATTGAGGTCGTAGAAAGGTGCTTCGGACCTCAACGCAAGAGTCATGTAGTTGGATTTGGTGGTGGAATTACTGCTAAGGAGTTAAAAGGTGCTAACTCCTCCAAGGATGCATTGTTGGAAAAGTTGAGTGCTACTGAAAAAGAAAATAAATCACTAAAAGAGTGCATAGAAGGGTTAGAGAGTAAATGCGATGTTCTAGAGAGTAAATATGCACAACTTGCAAGTGCAGTGTTTAACCAGGCTTCATCCTCATCTTCAAGTGAACAATAGATTGAAGCATTTAACAGGTTAGTAGATTAAAAATCCTAATAATCACCTTTCAAAAAATACTTTATCTAAAACTTAAAAATAATACAATTTTACATTAATCACCTTTTCTAGTACTTTTCCTTGCCTGTGAAAAAGATAGAGCTCAAACAAAAAAAAACTTGGTGGATGGGCATTTAATACTGAGTTGATTTTAATCCCATTGTTGTATGTATTACTTGGAACCTTCCTCAATGGAGGTTTTTGATATTGACCTATAGATATAGAGGAAGATGATTTCTGGGAATGTTGTTGATGATTCACCCTTAGTTTCTTTTATCAAGAACCAACATATTCACACCGAATAGTTTATAAATGTACTTGAGAGCTGAGATAATCAATACCGATTAGAATGATGAGAATATTCTACCACTCTTGTGCTGATATCTTTTGCACTATGTAAAAATATTTTTGCAAATCCTGCTAACTTATTTAACTACAACCCCAAATGGATAAGCTACCAGTAGTTTGATCCCATGTTACACCTAATTGTCAAGCATTTGATTTCTTCTAAACTATTGTCTTGAGAATTTTAATATTCCATTTATGCATAAGTAAAAGAAAATAAGTCTATCGTTATCTGTTTGAGAAGAAACAATTTTGAAAAATAAAATTGCAAGTGCAATGAAAATGAGTTTTCCGTCTCAATACCATTTATTTTTTTAATTATGTTTCATCTCCTTCCTTTGATTGCCTGGCATGAGATAGCGTTAGCAAATAACACTAGTATTTCAATTTTCAATAGCTTTAATGGTGACTTTGTTTTTAACAAATGTAACATCTGGTTTTTAACAGTAGTTGAAGGTGACTTTCCCTAAGTTAGCTATTTCATCTTACCAGTGCTAGTTCATATTATGTAGAAGAAGGAATATAATCAGTTGAATTTACTTAGAGTAATATATTTTTACGCTACAACTTCTTTCAAAGAATGATACCAAATAGCATTCTTTGAAACCAAATAGCATACAGATAGTTTTGGGTTGATATTTTTTGGACTCTAGGTAATGCGAAGAGCTTATAATTATCAAAAGTGAATTCTCTTTCACATAATTAATTGGAAAATTGATCTGTTATACTGTGTGCTTCTACACATCTGGCATGTTCTAGAAGTTGCATATCGATGTGTGCTAGATGCCATTAATATTATACTCTATGATGAAATTGTTACAATGCTCATGTGAATTTTTTTCCATTACATTAAAGTTTATGAATTTAAATAAAAATATAGTCATCAAGACAAGTAAATTTATAAGCAAGAATGAAGTTCCATACCCAATATCACCTAGAGTTGTCATAATCTAGCTCAATGTACAGAGAATTGATGAAATAATATACCTCAAAGCAGAACCAAAAGGTGAGTTGTAAAGGGAAGTTTGGTATATGAAAAATCATGGGTTCTTCATAGAGACTTGATTTGAAGTCATAATCGACTCTTTCTCAAAAGTTTCTATATGCATTTTGTATCTCAATCGCTTTTCCTCCTTATGTGTAGAATCGCATGAAGCTCTTTATAGAATGTGCTTGCCAGAATAAGATAATTTGCTATGCAGGTTTTAGTATGACCATGATGTGTGATTTAGAACTCCATCAGTCTTCTGATCATTGTCCGTGAACGTAGAAAATATAATGCGATATTTTTCTGCTACAATATTGCCTACTGTTCTGTCAACTGATAAATGAATTATTTCACTAGGGCGATCAGTGTAGTCTTTGATGAATCTAGTCTTCTTCTTTAATTTTTTATTCTTTGTTACAAACTGACATAAACTTTTTACTTCAACAGATCAAAAGCTTGAAAGTCTGAAGAACCTATTGTTGAAGAAAGCGCACATCAAGCATAAGAACAAGAGAATTTTGTTATGTTAGGGATGGTCTGAAGGCACTATCTTATGTACATATGCTGAAATTTTATTTTTTCTCTTTTTAGGAATTATTAAAAATGATGTCATACTATTTGGATTGCTTTCTGGTAATGTGATGATGTTCTACTATTTGAATTTCTTTCAGGTAATGTAATGCTTAGATCTTTGTATTAACAGAATATCAATCATTTGGTTCATTTTCAAATATATCTGGTGTGTGTATGAAAGCATATGTACTATTAGTGAAATATATATTTTTGTCATTGTATTTATAAAAATTTTCCAGTAGCGAAGGGAATGTGGTCATAGTAACTATTGAATAACAGATTTCTCAAATATTTTATTAGACATTAGCGATTAAATGTAATTATAAAATTAACGAAGGGACTTTCGGTCTCTAAAAGCACTTGTAAGGACCAAATTAGTTGTTGGCATTGAACACTTTTAACGACTGGATAACACAATAACGAGGGATAAATCCTGTCGCTAAAAACGATATATAACGACCGGAAATCATGCCGTCGCTAAAGGGTCTTTAACGACCGGATTTAAAATCGGTCGTTAACTTTTAACGTCGGAGCTTTTAACGACCGGTGACGACCGGATTTTTATCGGTCGTTATTGACTTATAGCGACCGGATCTGGACTTTTAACGACCAAATTTCCCCTCGCTAAAGGCGTATTTTCTTGTAGTGGTAGAAGCCCAAGAAATTAAGATGGGATCACATTCGAGGGCCGAGGACCAAGTGTGGATGTCAAAAAGTGCGGAAAAAAAAGATTACTCTGAGAAAAATGCATTAACACGCCGCGGGAAACAAGGTGCAAATGCAAAATTCCTGCAGAGTGGAAAAAGTCTACTCTCTAAACTTTCCCATTGACGTGGTTCATGGGGCATCGCATGGCCATGTAATTTTCTTAGAGTAATTTTTCACTTCGGCTTGAAGAGGGTAGTTCTGTCCCGACCCGCTTCTACATGGTATAAATACACCAAAAATACGTTTATGAAAAATACGTTTATGAAAGGACTTTTGACCTAGGGGCTTTTGGAGATCATTGGAGGATTCAAGACACAAGGTTTCATCTTCCTTCTACCAATTCAATACGCGAGTTTGGATTGTAACATTGGATTAATGTTTTCTTATTCTTTAACTCTATTTGTGATGATTTTCTCCATATATATGGAGTACTTCACCTAAGGGTTTGACATGATTTGGTGACTTGGTTGTTGTTTATGGATTTAACTACTATTTAATTGCTAGAATTTATTGGATGGGCTGTAATATTAGTTGTGATTTTATTCTTTGTAGTGTTTAATCGAAAGAGGAATATCTTATGAATATTATTGCGGCGTATATGATGGGTTTTTAATGTTTTTGCCTTATGTTTTGATGATCTAACAAACATGCTATCAAGAACCAGATAAGGAACCTGACACACTTCGTACACATTGCTAATGAACGAATTCCATCCAGAACTCCAGCTAATGTGAACTGCTGCAAGTGTAGAAAATAGTGAAACAAGACAAGGACCTGATCCTTGTGTTTTCCTGATAGCAGTACGAAAGTCAACTGTGCATAGCTGGAAAGTAACTGCCACAGAAACAGTGCACACAGTGCAGTAGTTTTGCAGTCACTTGTCCTTTGACCAACCAAGTGCTTACATCATTCAAGTGATGTCATAAAAGGTGTATTAACAAGAGCATTATAAAAAAGTATCACTTGAACACTTGAGAATTCACTTCAAGCATTCAAGCCTTCTGAGACAGTGAATTTAATTCTTAAGAGCCTGAAGAACAAAGTTAAACGATACTACAGACCAGTTCCTAAATCCAATATTTTGTTGTCCTTAGTTGAGTTGTATCTTTGTAATTGTTCTTATCTTAATTCCTAAATTGCTTAGCTAGAAGCGTTACTTAGGAACCCCTTTGTAATACCATAAACCTTTTGTGTTTGTGTCGTGACTAGAGCTAGTCATGAGTTGAAGTATTTGTAATAGGTGTATTGCAAAGTGATTTGTAATATGTGTATTACGAGTTAGTGAGGGATTAAGAGTTTAATTCCTAGATTGCATAGGTTGTAATCTAAAAGTTGCTCATAGTGAAGTTAAAATCCTATAAGTGTAGGTCGTAGTTTTTTATCCCCTTGAGCAGGGATTTTTCCACGTAAAACTCCATGTCTTATTTACTTACTGTTTTATTAGTATTCTCAGTGAAAACTCATAGAGGAACTTGTACTCTATAATTCGGTGGACTTATATAAACTATCAATTTGTATCAGAACGGGTTCCTCCTATCAGGCTAATACCTAGGAAGGATCCTTATGGCTGCTCCACCAAATTTTGAAGAAGGTCAATATACGTACAGACCACCCAGGTTCAATGGGCAATACTATGGGTGGTGGAAGACAAGAATGCATGATTTTATCTTGGCTGAAGATTCTAAGTTATGGAATGTCATATGTGATGGTCCTTACATCCCAACAAAGGCAGTTGGAGACCTTCCATTAACAATGCCAAAGACTAGAAAAGAATACACTGACGCAGACAGAAAAGCTATGGAGAAAAAATTTTGTGCCAAGAAAATTTTGGTGTGTGGAATAGGACCTGATGAATACAATAGAATCTCTACTTGTGAAACTGCCAAGGAGATATAGGAAGCTTTGCAAACAGTACATGAGGGGAACCACTGAAGTAAAGGAATCTTAGATTGATATGCTCACTACCGAGTATGAACTCTTTATGATAAAGGACAATGAATCTATTCAATATATACACACAAGATTCACCTCTATCATAAATGAGTTACACTCACTTGGTGAAATCATTCCTAGGAACAAGCTAGTGAGGAAAATTCTCAGTATCCTGCCCAGTTCTTGGGAAATCAAGGTGAATGTCATTATTAAAGTAAAGGACATGCAGGAGCTGACCATAGACGAGCTGGTTGGAAATCTGAAGACCTACGAGATGAAGATGAAGATAGACAATGAAAGAAGAGAACCAAAGAAAAAAAGAACCTGGTACTCAAAGTTGAAAGCAATGACTCGAGTGAAGAGGACAGTGACATGGCTGACTTAACCAAAAGGTTTCAAAAGATGGTCAGAAGAAATGGAGGAATACTGAAAAGGGGCAACTTCAGCAAACCAAAGAACTATGATCTCTGCCACAAGTGTGGAAAGCCAGGGCACTTCATCAATGATTGTCCTCTCCAGAAGCAAGAACATTCCAAGTATAACCCTGAGAAAGTAGCCAAGAGAAACTCGGTTCCTGACAAGCACTTCAAAAAGAAGAGATCTGTTGGCAATGTGGTGAAGCAAGCTCTTGCAGCATGGGGAGACTCCTATAATAAGTCTGAAGATGAAACTAATGCAGGTGACAGCTCCATGATGGAAGTTGAAAGTGAGGAAAATGAATATGATTCAATATTTGCTTTGATGGCCCAATCTGATGATGATGAAGACGATGACATCAGTGAGGTAAATTTCAGGGATGTTTAGAGAAATCTGAAATCCTACTCTCCTAAGAAACTCATGTCTTTAGCTAGTGTACTGATTGAAGCCTATCACTATCTTGTGGAGGATAAAGATTCCTTGACCTTAGAGCTAGGAGAAGCTGAACAAACTAGAGATGATCTGGTAGTGTGTGTAGTTAATCTGAAGGAAACCATTTGTGAGTTTTAGAAAGAAAAACTTGTTTTAACCGAAAAAATTGCCAACATAGAACATGAAAGAGATGACTTAGTGGTGGTAGTTGTTGACTATAAGGAAACCATTGAGAACTTCAGTAAAGAAAAAGAGGCCTTAATGAAGAGAGTGATTGAGATTGAGGAAGAAAGAGATGATATCTTGGTAGTGATTGCAGACCTAAGGGAAACAATAGAGGGACTAGGGACTAAGTCTAAATCTGGATATTCTGGAAAAGGAAAAGAGGTAGCCAGTGCGGCACACATTAGTCTTGAAAACGAGTTGAAGGTTGTGGGAACTAGCCTGTGTGTTGAAACTGAGAAAAACAAACATCTCCAAACTGAACTGGAAAGAGTAAAAAATGATCTTTAAAAGTCCCTAAAGTGGACCTGGTCCTCAGAAACTATCACTTCCATGTATGTTAATAATGGTAGAAATTGGCAGGGAATAGGGTTCCAAAGAGAGAAAACCCCTTACAACCCCCATAGCAAGTATGTTACTGTACCGGATAACTAGCTGTGTACCCACTATGGGAACAATGAGTATTTCAAGGAAAATTGCTAAGCTAAGGTCTAGTCTATTCAGAAAAACAAAGTGTTTGCTAAAAATGTACTTCTAAAAAGGGACCAGGTGCCACCCACAAAAAATGCATATTACCTGCATGGACTCAGAGAGCTCTTATTCATCCTCTTGCCTACTACAATGGAGCCAAACTTGTTTGGGTTTCTAAAACTAACTCTTGATTTGCTTGTGTAAGGAACAGTGAAAGGAAACAGTCAGCAATGGTTCATGGATAGTGGATGTTCAAAGCATATAACTGGGAACACCATGGACTTCCTTTCACTAAAAGCCTTGCAAGGAGGGAGTGTATCCTTTGGCAATAGGAAAAAGGGGTACATTCTTGGAGTTGGAAAAGTCGGGAAATCATTCACTCACTCTATTGAGAATGTGTACTATGTCAATGGTCTTAAGTACAGTCTCTTGAGTGTCTCTCAGATCTGTGATAAAGGAAACAAGGTGAAGTTCTTGTCCAAGATATGTACAGTTACTAATCTGGTAACTGGTATAGTGGTACTTGTGGCCAAGAGATACAAGAACATCTATGTTGCTGATTTTGAGTCTATAAAAAGTGGTGATCTGAGCTATCTGAAAGCTGTTGATGATGATGCTGAACTCTGGCACAAAAGATTAGGGCACACAAGTTTCTGTCTTCTGAATAAATTAATTCAAAAAGACCTGGTCCATGGTCTACCCATGTCAAACTTCAAAGTACATAAAGTGTGTGATGCTTGTGCTAGAGGAAAGCATGTGAAGTCCTCTTTTAAGCCTAAAAAGGATGTCAGCACCTTAAAGCCACTCGATCTTCTTCATATGGATCTGTATGGCCCCATGAGAGTGAAAAACAAGGGAGGAAAAAGATACATCTTTGTGATAGTGGACGACTACTCCAGATTCACATGGA